CAGCTGCATACCAACCATTTGAAGTGTCTGTTCTGAAAATATTTTGCTTGAACCTGATTGGTCATAGGGAGATCAGCAATGGGGGGCAGTTAAGGGAGGGAAAAGTTGAATTTAAAGATTTTGGCACGCGATTCTCAGTTCTGGCTATGCTTTACTGCAATACATTTGACTTTTAATAAAGTTATACCTTTCTCAATAAATGGAGCCAAGGATTGTTTTTGTTTAGAGGTTTAAGTGCAGGCAACTATCTGTACAGCCAAATCAGTTAGCTAATACTAGGAACTGCTGTTTCAACACATCTGGAAGATACCAACCTAGAGAAGTTTGGTTTAGGAGATAATGGAGATGGTACAGAAAGAAACCACTGTGCCTTAGGAGTGAAATGGAAGGAGAAATAGTTTGATACACCATACTGGGGGCATCTGAGAATCAAAGTGTTACTAGACATTCAGAAAGTTAACAATATTGGTGTAAAATAATTTTACATCTGAGATGAACCTCCTGGGCAGGTCAAGGGGTTTTCTAGTCCCTTGGCCAACAAGATGATTTGGGAAAGTCTATGGGTATGTTATATTTTGCAGAGGCGGGTAATTGATTTCGCTTCTCAGAAGGTTGTAAAAGGTGATCACATGATCCCGCGACACTGCAACCGTCATAAATATGAGCCAATTGCCAAACGCCCAAATTTTGATCATATATCACAGGAATGCCGCAACAGTCGTAAGTGTGAAAAAATGGTCATAAGTCATTTTTTTCAGTGCTGTTGTAGCTTTGAACTATCACGAGATGAATTATTTTAAGTTGAGGGCTACTATATGTCTCCTTCTATATTCCCCTTGAACGTTGCTGTTATTATTTATTATTACTTAGTAAATTTATTATGCTGTCCATCTCAGTGGTGAAATCCATTTTTTTTAACTACCGGTTCTGTGGGCGTGGCTTGGTGGGCGTGGCTTGGTGGGGTGTGGTAGGTGAAGAATACTGCAAAATCCCCATTCCCTCCCCACTCCTGGGAGAAGGATATTGCAAAATCCCATTCCCTCTCCACTCCTGGGGGAAGGATATTGCAAAATCCCCATTCCCTTCCCACTGAGGGGGGAAAGATATTGCAAAATTCTCCATTCCCACCCCACTCCAGGGAAAAGATACTGCAAAATCCCCATTCCCTCCCCACTCCTGGGGGAAGGATACTGCAAAATCCCCATTCCCTCCCCACTCCAGGGGGAAGGATATTGCAAAATCTCCATTCCCACCCCACTCTGGGGCCAGCCAGACGTATTATTTGCCGGTTCTCCGAAGTGCTCAAAATTTCCGCTACCGGTTCTGCAGAACCTGTCAGAACCTGCTGGATTTCACCCCTGGTCCATCTCACAGTTTGAGGCAACTCTGGGCAACTCACCTCTATGGCACTTTGGTTTTGCAACTCACAATGGATTTTAGCTTATGAGAGTTCATCATGTCATCATAAATGCAGTAGTTGCTCATGTGCTACCAGACTATTTACAAGCTAACATTACTGTCTTGCGGAGAACAGGAATGAGATAACAGGCAGAACGTGCATTCAATCTCCCAAAAACAAATGACCATTTCAGTCTATGATGGCTGCACAAAATATGATTTGGGATGCCTATGGAGATTCTCAGTCACCCAGGTTATAGTTGTCTCAAAAGTGCTTTTCTTCTTCAATGTATTTTATTTATTTATTTATTTATTGGTTCGATTTATATGCCCCCCTTCTCTGGAGACTCAGGGCAGCTTACAATGCGTTAAGCAATAGCCGTCAGACTTTTGTATATACCTGCTTAGTAGGGCTTTCGGCCCCCCCTAAGCGGTGTTCTTTTTTATACAAAGTCAGTTTATTGCCCCCACAATCCAGGTCCTCATTTTACCCTCCTCGGAAGGATGGAAGGCTGAGTCAACCTTGAGCCTGGTGAGATTCGAACTTGCAGTAATTGCAAGGCAGCTGGTGCTACTTAACAGCACTTTAGTCTGCTGCGCCACCAAGGCTCTTTAGGATGAAGAATGAACCAATATGGAAACTAAAAGATAATATGTGTGATAAGAACGGTTAAAAGAGATTGTACGTTTATATATGTTTTATGAGAAATAAAAATAAAAAGCGTTTATTAAAAAGAAAAAGGCAACTAGTCCGTTTTTTTTTTTTACTTTGAGGAAGAAGAAGAAAATGTTTCGCAGATGAACCGATGAAGCTTCTTGGATGAGAAGTGAAACGTTTTCTTCTTCTTCTACCTCAACGGGTGGGGAAAAAAGCAGAAGAAAAAAAAGTGCCTTTGAAATAAAATGGGATGATGATTTTTTAGTTTTTTTAGCTTTTTAGCTTTTTATTTGTCAATGGGTTTTAATTCGAATTGTTTTAAATTTGGGCCAAAGTATGTAATTCTTTTAATAATTTTAAATTTTGTATTGGTATGTGTTTTAGTTCTGGCTGTGCACCGCCCTGAGTCCACTAGGAGAAGGGCGGTATACAAATTGAATAAAATAAATAAAATGATTAGACAAACAGAAAAAGAGAGAGAGAGAATATGTTATGACTCCCTAAGCTTTTTCTTTTCTTTTTCTTTTCTTTTCTTTTTTATTTTTTTTAATTTGATTTATATGCCACCCTTCTCCGGAGACTCAGGGCGGCTTACAATGCGTTAAGCAATAGCCTTCATACTTTTGTATATTTATACAAAGTCAGCTTATTGCCCCCACAATCTGGGTCCTCATTTCACCTACCTTAGAAAGTATGGAAGGCTGAGTCAACCTTGAGCCTTGGAGAGATTCGAACCAGCAGAAATTGCAGGCAACTAAGCTTTTGAAAGCATCAGTTGTGTCTCTTGAAGTAGTCCCTGGTCCTTAAAAGCTTACTACCCTCTAAGTAGAATTAAAGATTTTTGCAAACTCTCAGATATATTTCGGTATGACTCGATGTAACTGATTTCAGATAAATAGGGCAGACAGATAGATGATAAATATCCCGAACCGTGTTTCTGATTTCAATAAAGGAAAATATTCATAGCCCAGTGTTGAAGCATGGAGTCCTTGGTGCTCTCTGAGCTTGGTTTCCTTCTTGAAGACGTCTCATCACCCAAACTAGGTAATGTCATCAGTGCTAGCCTAGTTTGGCCAATGAAAGGTCTGCGAGAAAACAACCAAGCTCAGAAAGCACCAAGAACCCCTTGTTTCTGATTTTTACTCAGTCTTTAGCTTATCATAACATGCCACACGAGAAATTAAGCAACACCTCCAATCAACTTAATAATTCCCTCCCTTAATATTTTGATACTTAATATTTTTGTATCTTATGATTTATCACTTTGTTGCTTGTATGTACACTGAGAGCTTCTGTACCGGAGACAAATTCCATTCACATTGGACAATCACATTTGGCCAATAAACAACATTCTATTCTATTCTATTCTATTCTATTCTATTCTATTCTATTCTATTCTATTCTATTCTATTCTATTCTATTCTATTCTATTCCAAGAGTCCCTTGGGAGTTGGGCAGCATAGAAATGCGATAAATTAAATTAAATTAAATTAAATTATTCTCTTCTCTTCTCTTCTCTTCTCTTCTCTTCTCTTCTCTTCTCTTCTCTTCTCCTCTCCTCTCCTCTCCTCTCCTCTCCTCTCCTCTCCTCTCCTCTCCTCTCCTCTCCTCTCCTCTGCTCTCCCCTCCCTCCCCTCCCCTACCCCATGCCATGCCATCCTATGCCATGCCATCCCATCCCATCCCATCCCATCCTATCCCATTCTCCCTCACCCCATTCTAATGTTGATTTCTCTTCTGATCATCCTCTCACTTTATTTAAAAGTCTATTGTTTCCTCTTTCCCTTTCTTCTTTCAGACTTTTTTTTAAAAAATTAAAAAAAAATCAGGAGAAACCTTTCCTACAAGGCACTCCTTGGCCAGCCAAACCCAGGTTTCTACAGAGGCTGGAGGAAGGTTTGTTTGGTGTTTTTAATTCCGAGCTTGCAAATGTTTCCCTCCTGCTTTTACGCTCAAGATTTGAGACCCAATTTTTGCAACTGCTTTCCATTCTATCCCATCTCTCTCTCTCTCCCTCTCTCTTTCTCTCCCTCCCTCTCTCTCTCTCTCTCTGGCTTGCTTTCTCTGTCTCATTTGACAGGCAAATTTGCAGACGTAGCCCGAGGATAACAACCTCGTTTGACAGTCAATTAACCGTGAATAGTCAAAGCCGAGACAGTTTGCATTACATAAATGGAAAATTACATTCCCTCCCCACCCCCCCTTCCCGTCTTTTCTGTCTCCCCTGAAACAAAACCTCTCTTTCCTTATAACCCTCCCCGGCAATACCCAACTTAGTATCAAAACTTCTAATCACGTTTTTTCCCCCCCTTCTTCTCTCTCTCCCTCCCTCCCCTCCCCTCCCCAAAACCCTTGGAGACATTTAGCAATCAGTAAAAGGTGGTTCCATTTAATTTGTATAATGTAATTTTTGTCAATGTATTATACATTTTGTGTAGAGATCATTATCACGGAGATAATATAAATGTTGCCTTAGATCTCATAAAACACCTTTAATGTCTCTCTGACAGATATTAAAAGCAATAAGCTGTGATCCTTTTTAATGGAAGGTTTCAAAGAGAACATTTCAATTATTGTCATTTTATGCTGTTTTTTTTCCCCCCCACTTCCCAGCCTGCTCCATTGTGTAACCTGATATATTTCCGGAAATTTCTTGCTAAAATATGACCCGCAATTAATATTCTTATTGCTATTAACATGGCACCAGCCCTGCTTATTTGTATTTTCCCCTTAGTTATTCCATCTATTAAGAGTTGTTCTATTTTTATTTTTGGGGGAGGGAAAAAAAATTAAACTCTACCAAATATTCAGTCGTTTGATTAAGAATTTTCAAGAGGAGCTTCTGTGCCTGCCAAGTAGGGAACAGACACACACAGTGGAAATCAGTAAGCTTACTTTGAAGTAAAGACGTCGAGGGGAGCTCTGGGTTTGATTCAACACTCACCTGCTATGTTTCTCCAGAAGTCTCCTGGATGTTCACCGTCTGAGATGAAAAAACTGTGCTCCTTGTTCTTATCTAAACACAAAGAAAACGAGGAGCAAAAATTAAATGCAGGCACTCCCTGACTTACAACAACTCCCCTACTTCCTGTTCAAAGTTACGACGACACTGAAAGAAGTGACTTATGATCATTTTTCAGCATCCCCCATGGTCACGTGATTTACACTCGGAGGCTTGACCATTGACTGACATTTATGACGGTTGCAGTGTCCCGGGGTGGGTCACGTGATCCCCCTTTTGTGACCTTTTTGACAAGCTAAATCAATGGGGAAACCAGATTCATTTAACAACTGTGGCAAAGAAAAGTCGTAACGTGAGACAAAACTCACTTAACCAAATTTCTCACTAGGCATCATAAATTGTGGTCGTAACTTGAAGATTACTTGTATTGCCCAAAACAGAGGAATCTCCTTAACATTTCTATTGAAATTGGAAGAAGAGGTATTGAGAATGAGTGAGGTGTTATACAGGTAGTCCTTGATTTACAACAGTTCATTTAGTGATCATTCGAAGTTACAGCGGCACCGAAAACAGCGACTTATGACTGTTTTCCACACTTACGACTGTTGCAGCATCCCCGTGGTCACATCATCAAATTTCAGATGCTTGGCCACTGGCTCGTATTTATGACGGTTGCAGTGTCCTGGGGTCATATTGTCATATTGTCATATTGTCTCTTTGGCAATTTTCTGACAAGCAAAGTCAATAGGGAAGCCAAATTCATTTAACAACCGTGTTGGTAACTTAACCCCTGCAGTGATTCACTTAACAACTGTGACAACAAGTGTTGTAAAATGGGGCAAAACTCGTTTAAAAACTGTCTTGCTTAGCAAGAGAAATTTTGGGCTCGATTGTCGTCGGAAGTCGAAAACTACCTGTATTACGTTAAGGTAAAGATAAAGGTTCCCCTCGCACATATGTGCTAGTCGTTCCCAACTTTAGGGGGCGGTGCTGATCTCCATTTCAAAGCCGAAGAGCCAGCGCTGTCCGAAGACGTCTCCGTGGTCATGTGGCCGGCATGACTCAACGCCAAAGGCGCACGGAACGCTGTTCCCTTCCCACCAAAGGTGGTCCCTATTTTTCTACTTGCATTTTTTTTTACGTGCTTTCGAACTGCTAGGTTGGCAGAAGCTGGGACAAGTAACAGGAGCTCACCCCGTTACGCGGCGCTAGGGATTTGAACCGCTGAACTGTCGACCTTTCGATCAACAAGCTCAGCGCCTTAGCCACTGAGCCACCGCGTCCCTTCTTATTATCAATTATTTTATTATCAATGATCAAAGTACTACATTGCTGATGTCTTATTCTTCACAGACTAACCATGTTCGTACGACACCCTTACTCAGATCAGTTTGAAATCTCGGGGTTATATGGACACAGCAAGGGTGAACAGGGTTATCCACAAGAGCAGAATCAGGAAAGTCAAGATGGCGGCTGCGATGGTACAATCACAGCACTGCTACAGTCATCATCTTGGGTGCGGAAGATGTGGGTAAGTCCATCACTTGAGGAGCACCCACAACAAGCCCTCACTGGAGGAGCATCTAACTCAAGAAGAAACTGGACAACCATTTGTCCAGAACGGTATAGGGCAGTGGTCACCAACCTTTTTATCGCCGCGGCCCGCTGAGCGCGCGCAGGGGTGGGGGCACGGCCCAGGAGCTTTTGCGCACGGCCCATTGCGCACGGCCCAGGAGCCTTTGCGCTGCAGCATTCATGTCCCCCGGCCGCTGTGCGGCCCGGTGCCAGGTACTCCACGGCCTGGCACCGGTCCGCGGACCGGGGGTTGGGGACCACTGGTATAGGGTCTCCTGCTTGATCAGCGAGTTGGACTAGAACAGGGGTCTCCAACCTTAGCAACTTTAAGCCTGGCGGACTTTAACTCCCAGAATTCCCCAGCCAGCTTTGCTGGCTGGGGAATTCTAGGAGTTGAAGTCCGCCAGGCTTAAAGTTGCCAAGGTTGGAGACCTCTGGACTAGAAGATCTCCCAGGATCCTTTCCATCCCTGCTTTTTCTGTATTTTGTATCTTGTAAACATATGCTACACAGGTAGTCCTCGATTTACAACAGTTCATTTAGTGACGGTTCCAAGTTACGGCACTGAAAAATAGTGACTTATGACTGTTTTCCACACTTACGACCCTTGCCCCATGACCCCATGGCCACCTGATCAAAATTCAGATGCTTGGCCACTGGTTCATATTTATGACGGTCGCAATGTCCCGGCGTCAGGTGATCCCCTTTTGCGGCCTTCGGACAAGCAAAGTCAAGGAGGAAGCTGGATTCACTTAACAACCATGTGACTATAAAAAAAAATGCAATGATTCACTTAACAACTGTGGCAAGAAAAGTCGTAAAATGGGGCAAAACTCACTTAACAAATATTTCACTGAGCAACATAATTCTTGGGTTCCAAATGTGGTCGTAACTCAAGGACTACCTATATACAACTGACTTAGAAAGCACCACAAACGAAGATCGTTTGGCCAGCGAGCAGCTCATATAGCAACGAACCCAGACAATGGGTTAATTCCGTGATCTTGGTTAGGCATCTTGTGAAGGCAACTATTATGATGCTGAATTTCTCCTCCTCTTGCTCTCTTTCTCTCTCATTTTCTCATTAAATATAAATTAGATCAAGACAGCACAGCTCTATTTATCTATAAAAGAGATAAAGAGAGAAGCTAGCTATCAATAAAAAAAGAGATGGAGAGAACACATTTATCTGGCTGTAAGAAATAAATGTTAAAAGACGGATACAAATGGAGAAATATGTCTCTTCTCTTAATATCCTTCATCCCCATCCCATCTACACACACATACAGTATACACAAACACACACAAACACAAACACACACAAACACAAACACATATTGTTTGAGATTCAGAATCTTGATACTGAGGCTTTTCAGGAACTACACGGATGGACCAAAACAGTTTTGGGGGGGTTTATTTTAGGGGATGCAAGTCCATTTTGTTCCCTCCTGACTTCACCCCAGGGTGGAAACACAATCAACAGGAATCCGTTGCGTTGCCTTGCCTGAGAAATTATCTTCCTTGGAAGAAGAGAGACTGATGGGGTGGGCTTCCTTGCTTTTCGGAATCTGCCAGCATGGAAAGAAATAAACAACAAGCAAAAATTAGAAGGAAGGAAGGAAGAAAGGAAGAAAGGAAAGTAGGTAGGAAGGAAACAAGTCTCCCACCCGTAATTTAGTTGATGAACAATTAGTAATAGTGAAAGAACATTAGTGGTGGGTGGATGTGAGAGAGCGAGAGCGAGAGAATAACACATCCAGGCTAAATCTCGGCTCAAGAATTGTGCTTGCTTTCATTGGGAGATAAGAGTCATTTCTTAGCATCAACTAGGATTTGTTTATCTATTTATTTATTTTAGAAAATTTATAAGTTACAAGTCAACATATACTCAATTTGTAATCTAGTTTACAAATCAACAGCTACGAAGGGTGACAATGGATTGGATCCTGATTGTGGTTTTGAGCTGAATATATAAATCTCACTTAATGTGAGCTGAATCTGAACTGAGCTGAATCTGAACCGATCACTAATCTGAACTGAAAAAGATCAACTTCAGAGATTCTAACCGCCCCCCCTTCCCCCAAAATACTAGGTTTTGTGTTGTAATGGGGTTTGAGAATGACTTTGGGAAACTCTATAGAGATTCTCAGCCATCCAGGTCATAGTTAAGCTTATTAAGACCAGCTGCCTGCAATTACTGCAGGGTTCGAATCTCGCCAAGGCTCAAGGTTGACTCAGCCTTCCATCCTTTCTAAGGTAGGTGAAATGAGGACCCAGTTTGTGGGGGCAATAAGCTGACTTTGTATAAATATACAAAAGGATGAAGGCTATTGCTGAGCACATTGTAAGCCACCCTGAGTCTCCGGAGAAGGGCGGCATATAAATCAAAATTTAAAAAAAAAAAAGGTGCTTTTTCAAGAAGCAACTGAACGGACAATCTGGTTTTTCTTTGAAGACATTTTGCTTCTCATTCAAGAAGCTCTGAAGCTTCAAGAGCTAAAAAACAAAAGTTGCCTCTTGAAAAAGCACCTTTGGGGATTTGGGAAACTGTGTAGGAGGGGAAGGTACAGGGATAATCAGAGAAGAGAAGACACAGCTCACAACTGCATAACAGGCAGAGAAAGAGATTCAGAAAGGATTCTGAAGGAAATCCAGTCTGCAAAGGAAATGACAGAAGATTTGTACTTTCAGCCTTACAAGATTCTGTTAATGTAGCCTTACAATACAATAGAATTACAGTAGTTCACCTGTCCTTCAAAAGAGGGGAAGGTCATTGCATTTTAGAAGACTGACCCCAGTAGGGGAAATCTGAGGTTCCTTAGAGATTGCTCAGGTCTATCTTCTGCTGTGGCCAGAGTTGATGAAGGAGTGTGACCTCCATTTGGAGAAAGTTGCAAATTCTCTTGGATTTGAGGGTCCTGGTTAATCAACCTAGCTGCATTGCCAAAGGATTCTTTGTAGGATTTGGGTAGCAGATTTGGGGGGGGGGATGAATTCCAGTAGAATTCATATGTCAAACCTATGTTTTCTTCATATCAGTCTACATACAGGTAATTTTTCTAGCAGCTGTATAGAAATAGCCTGCCTTTCTTTTTTCCAAGCTACAGGTAGTCTTTGTTTAGTGACCATAATGGTGACTCAGTAATTAAGCAAAGCATTCACTAAGTGAAACAGCCACTGTGCTTCTGATCTTCGTTCGGCTTTCCTTTCCTTTACAGACCTGTGAAAGTCGTAAAGGTAAGAATTGGTTACGAAGTTCCTTTTTCATCAACCCTCATAACTGCAAATAGTCACTAAGTGAGGATAACTATACTTTTTCAACTTCTCCATCTAGTTTTCCTCCCTGAGTTGCCCTGGTGCTCTTCCATCTAAGTCCAATCCATATCTCACGCTACTTAGCTTTTTTGAAAATCAGACAATCCAGATGTTGACACTTTCTGTCGATTATATAAGATTATTTTGGGCAATCTAGAAGTAGACAGTTGGCTCCAGACGTAACTAAAGGAGACCCACTGAAATCAATGGTATTTAAGGCTTTACTTAAAATGATGGCTTAGATCCAGTCCAGTATTCGTGGTGTGATGGTAATTTGGTGTGATTTACCAGGCACTAAATATTGTTGCAGAATATAACCTGCCCCACCCTTGGTGCCCATTAGATTGTGGTCCACATAGTTTGTTCCCCTAAGCCAGGGATGTCCATTCTTGTCTACTTTAAGACTTGTGGACTTCAACTCCCAGAATTCCCCAGCCAACATGGCTGGCTGAGGAATTCTGGGAGATGAAGTCCACAGGTCTTAAAGTTGACAAGGTTGGAATTTCAACCCTAGGTTTATTTGAATAAGAACAACGCAACACAAAGTATCTCCTGCTAACTTTTTTTTTTTTTTTGGCTTTAATTTATATGCCGCCCTTCTCCAGAGACTCAGGGCGGCTTACAATGCGTTAAGCAATAGCCTTCATACTTTTGTATATTTATACAAAGTCAGCTTATTGCCCCCACAATCTGGGTCCTCATTTCACCTACCTTAGAAAGGATGGAAGGCTGAGTCAACCTTGAGCCTTGGAGAGATTCGAACCAGCAGTAATTGCAAGCAGCAGATGTTAATAACAGTGGGCTTTATTTGCAGAAATTACTCTGGGTGTCTTGTGAGCGTCCAGTCTTAGCACGACAGGCATATTGTGAGGAGGCAAGTCTCTTGCAGCAGCCATTTTGTGAATGTGCCCGCTACATCTTACACAAATTGCCAGTGTACCAATTCAAAAGAGGGGATTATGTCCTGCATCTGAAGCTTATTGGGAAGATAAGTAGGGTTTATCTATTGGGAAGCAAGTCAGGAGTAAGTCAATGTTTCTCAATCTTAGTCAATTTAAGAGATGTGGACTTCATCCCCCAGAATTCCTAAGGTCCACACCAGGGGTGGGTTCTAATTTTTTTTTACTACCGGTTCTGTGGGCATGGCTTATTTTGTGGGTGTGGCTTGGAGGTCATGTGACTAGGTGGGTGTGGCTAGCTGGTCAGGGTCATTTCTGGAAGGTCCTCGCACTTACGACCAATCCTCACACTTACGACCCGACTCATTTGTTTGCTTTTAACACTGATCAGCTGTAGGGCGGCCCTTTGAAGCCCCCCCCCAAGAGTTTAAACAGTTTTTTTCCCTCTAGTCATCAGCTGGGACTCAGGAGGCAGCAATAGATTGGGGGTGGGACCAAATAAAAGGTAAGAATAACGTGGGTGGGTGGGGGTGGGTGGGAGAACCAGTTCGGTGACATCATATCGTCACTGCTACCGGCTCGGCCAAACCGGACCGAACCAGGAGGAACCCACCACTGGTCCACACATCTTAAAATGCCCAATTGGAGAAACACTGTATTAAGTGAACAATCAGATCCATAACTAAAAGATACAGATCCTAGTAAGGGGATCGAGTTTCTTTCCCTGTTTTATCTGCAGGAAAGTTTACCTGGTGTCCTCTCTATGTTTTAGCTTAGGACTTTGATAGTCCTTCCCTTGGACACTATTATTTCTTGAGCATTATGGGAGCTGCAGTCCAGAACATGAGGAAGACACCAGTGAGACTCTCTGTGTGGTACCCTTGATGGAAAAATAGGTGGTATTTTTAATACTCAAAGATCTACTGCAGAAAACATCTTAAAAGAGCTTCATTCAAAGCTTGTCCATCTCAATACACTGAACCAGAGGAGCCAAAATGGGTCTTTTTAGAACATAGAATAACAGGGTTTGAGGGGACCTTGGAGATCTTCTAGTCCAACCCACTTACTCAAGAAAGAGACCCTGTTCCAATCTGGACAAATGGCTTTTTCAAAAGACATTCCTCTGAATTCAGTGGGAACAGCACTGAAGGTCCAGTTTTGTACCCCTCTTTTGGGAACGGCTTAGGGCCGTGATGGCGAATCTATGGTACACGTGCCCAAAGTAGCATGTGAAGCCATGTTGCCTGGTGCATGCGTGCCTTTGCCTGTTTGTCTTCCGGGTTTCTGGCATGCATGAATGTGCGATGATCAGCTGACCTTTACACGCGTGGCAGTGCCGAAAAGCGGTGTGCTCATGCTTGCCAGCCAGCTGATTGTTGGGTGCGCATGCTCGCCAGAACCCAGAAGTTCAGCTTTTCTGGAACGCGATCCCTTCGCACCTGTGGCAGTGCCGAAAACCAGCCTGTGCATGCAAACTGGCCAGCTGATTGTCGGGCGCACATGCGCGCTAGAACCCGGAAGTTCGGCTTTTCTGGAGTGCGGCCCTGATGAGCGTGCGCGCGACATTTCCACGTGACCTTTTCGGCACTCGGTGCCAAAAAGGTTTGCCATCACTGGCTTAGCGGGATAAGATCTTACCTAGCAAGGAATGCCCCCTTAGAAATCCCTGCCATTGTAGTACAACAGTCACAAATTGGGTGGCCTGGTCTTTGCTTTTACAAAGGCAAGGTGAATTTTCTCTGGTTTAACAGAGAAGAACTGGGCCAATCCAAGACATTCAGAAGTGGAAAGAAAATCACCGGCACCTGAATCTTATAGACATTTTCATTAATATTAACATTAACAATCCTCCTGCTATTACAGCCCTTCTTCCTCATCCAGAATGCTACATCATGGGACAGAGAGTCCCAAGGACCAATTTCTCAAGGTGGCTCTTTTTCTCCCCTGACATCTTAAATCTTCCATTTAGCAACCTTGGAAGATTTGAAATCTTAATATTTATTTTTATATTTATTAATATTAAGAGGGAGGAAACATGAATTTCTCGACAATGGATTGTAAAGATTTGCGTGGCTTCTAACTAATACCTCTCTTCAAATCAGAATTATCGTCTTTATAACACAGCTATTCCAATCTTCTAAATTCCCTGACCCACCCCCCGAATCTGTTCTAGCACCCCAATGCCCTTTGCTGATCCTTTGGCGGGATCTTCCTGATTCTAATGCAGGGATCTCCAAACTTGGCAACTTTAAGATTTTTGGACCAACTCCCAGAATTCCACAGGCCGGAATTCTGGGAATTGAATCCACAAGTCTTAAAGTTGCCAAATTTGAAGAGTCCTGTTCTCATGCAATCAAATTTTTGTGGTTGTTAGTTCACAAAAAGGAAGATTGTAGGCCTTCTCAAGGAGGTTTGCCCTGCAGATGAATTAGGACTACAACACTTACATATTTGGGGTAGTCTGGGACTTCATCCCTAGGATAACTGGAGAGGAAACTATAATTGTTTTGATTTTTCTTCCATATTGTGAAATTATGATCTTTATGATTATTAACCCTGCAAGCCTGAAACAGTGAACTCTAGGTCTAAAAATCAATGGGAATGATTGCCAACTAAGCTAAAGAGAAAAGAGTATATATTTGCAGGAAAACTATAAAGCTCATTTTTAGATTGTGCTGGCTTAGAGTATCATTCTGGTTTGATGCAATTTTTCAGCAATGGGATTCATACTTCTTGACTTTAGGATATCAGCAGAAAAGCTACATTAATTTCCTTCTGTTACCTCCAGGGTTTATCTTACTTTCTTCAGATGTCCAGGGAAACAAAAATATGCTTATTTGCAGGGTGCGGCTGCCAACAACTTGAATCTCTTTATCATATTCATATGAACATGTGAATGTTTTTAAAATGTTATCTATTTTAGGTTCTATTTAATTGGGCCAAACTATGTTATAATAATAATTTTAATTAGCAATTTTATGATGTTTGTGTATCTATATTTTTCTTGACTGTACACCGCCTTGAGTCCTACGGGAGAAAGGCGGTATAGAAATATAATAAATAAATAAATAAATAAATAGATAGATAGATAAATAAATAAATAAATAAATAAATAAATAAATAAATAAATAAATATTCTGCAGACATCCGCACCTGACTTGTGATCACTTTCAAGATCTGGCACAATTATGCAGATTTTAGCTCTGTTTGGAGAGCTAAGCAGGACTGAGCCTGATTAGGACTGGATGGAAAACTATCAAGACATCGCAAGATGACCTGAGCAGTTAAATTCCAGAGAAAACAATAGTAAAACCACCTCTATATTACTTATGGGGTCCTTGGTGCTCTCTGATGATTGTTTTCTTGCAGACATTTCATTACCCAATTAAGTAACATCATCAGTGCTAGTGAGTGTGGGGTTTGCTCAGCATTTTTGGCAGAGCAAACTACAGGCAAGCCTCAATTTACAACAGTTCATTTAGTGACCGTTCGAAGTTACAACGGCCCTGAGACAAGTGACCTATGACCATTTTTCAGACTTATGTCCATTGCAGCATCCCCATGGTGATGTGATTTACATTCGGATGCTTGACAACTGGTTCATATTTAGGCATATATATATTTATTGCGGTATTTATTGGAGTCTTGGTGGTGCAGTGGACTAAAGTGCTGTTAAATAGCACTTAGCTGCCAGCTGCCTGCAATTACTGCAAGTTCAAATCTCACCAGGCTCAAGGTTGACTCAGCCTTCCATCCTTCCGAGGTAGGTAAAATGAGGACCCGGATTGTGGGGGCAATAAGATGACTTTGTATAAAAAAGAACACCGCTTAGTGGGGGCCAAAAGCCCTACTAAGCAGGTATATACAAAAGTATGAAGGCTTAACGCATTGTAAGCCGCCCTGAGTCTCCAGAAGGCGGCATATAAATCAAACCAATAAATAAATAAATAAACAATAAATAAATAAATTCGGGGGTCATATGATCCTTTTGAAGGTTTTTGAACCTTTTTTTGCAAACAAACTCAATGGGAAAGCCAGATTCACTTAACTAATTTAACAACTGCAGTGATTCTGGTCACAAATGTGGCAAGAAAAGTCGTAAAATGGGGCAAAACTCCCTTAACAAATTTCTCACTTGGCAACATAAATGTTGGGGGTCAATTGTGGTCGTAAGTCGAGGACTACCTGTACTGCAAGAGCAAGCTACCTTGCATACAAACAAGGAGCAAACCCACACTCACTTAGCACTGATGGTGTTACCTAGTCTGGTAATGAAACATCTGCAAGAAATAACCAAACTCTGCACCATGTTCAACCCTGAGATACAACCGGTGGTAGGATTCAAGTAATTTAACAACCGGTTCTCTGCCCTAATGATTTCTTCCAACAACCAGTTTGCCAAACTGCTCAGAAAGTTAACAACCGGTTCTCCCGAAGTGGGGCGAACCGGCTGAATGCCACCACTGGATACAACTATTCTTGTCTATGTTGCTTCCAAGAAAACAACGTCAATCTATCCATGGGGACCCCAGGAATCGGGTTTCACTCCTAACCAGCTTTACTACTTAAATGTATTTTCAACTGGGGGCGCTAACGCTAAAAGGGCTCTTCGTTGTGCCAGTTTTGAAGGTCAGGGAAATTAAAACAAGAATCTTCAAATGGTAACCCGTGTAAGTTTCTTTGTGGATTACACACTTGGCTTGGATTTCCCCCCACCACCACCACATTTAGTCTTGTAGGTTTGTCAGAGGTGGGGGGAACAGCTTTTCAGTGACTTCGGGAAAAAAAATGATATGATTTGGAAAGGAAGGCAGCATTTTGCAGGCAACAGAAGTAAAATGATTACAGGTAGTCCTCAGCTTACAATTTGTTTAGTGACTGAGTGCAGAGAAGAGCAACAAAGATGATTAGGGGACCGGAGGCTAAAACATATGAAGAACGGTTGCAGGAACTGGGTATGTCTCGTTTAATGAAAAGAAGGACTAGGGGAGACATGATAGCAGTGTTCCTATATCTCAGGGGCTGCCCCAAAGAAGAGGGAGTCAAGCTCTTCTCCAAAGCACCTGAGGGCAGGAGAAGAAGCAATGGGTGGAAACTAATCAAGGAGAGAAGCAACCTAGAACTAAGGAGAAATTTCCTGACAGTTAGAACAATTGATCAGTGGAACAACTTGCCTCCAGAAATTGTAAATTCTCCAACACTGGAAGTTTTTAAGAAGATGTTGAATAACCATTTGTCTGAAGTGGTGTAGGGTTTCCTGCCTAAGCAGGGGGTTGGACTAGAAGACCTCCAAGGTCCCTTCCAACTCTGTTATTCTATTCTATTCTATTCTATTCTATTCTATTCTATTCTATTCTATTCTATTCTATTCTATTCTATTCTATTCTATTCACTGTTCAATGGTACAAGAGAATTGAAAAAAAAGTAATTTATGACTGTTTTTTGAGCAGCATCTCTGTGGTCACATGATCAAATTTGGGATGCTGGGCAATGGGCTCACTTAGCAGCTGTTTCACTTAGCAGCAGAAATGTTGGATTCAACAGTGTTTATAAGTGTAGGACTACCTGTATTAGGAGAAAAAGAAAACCCAATAATTTAAGAACACCAGTCTGGATTTAAATGACTACCTTAACAACTGGGTTACTAACTTATCAATTTAAGGGAGTCACTTAACAACGGTGGCAATAAAGGTCGTAAAATGGGGCAAAACCCACTTCACAAATGTCTCATTTAACAACAGAAATTTGGGGCTCAATTGTGGTCCTAAGCCAAGGACTACCTGAACTTGGAAACCACTTCTGGATTTTGTGCTCGAGGTGAGGGGGGGAAACAAATGAAACTTTGATTTGGGGTTTTGCCGATTTTGGCTTTGTTGTTGTAGAAATGGCTAGTTTATATTATTACATTATATGTAATATGACTAATAAATATGACTAATATGACTAATAAAATAACATGACTAATACGACTAATAAAATAATAAAATACACAACCGTAAAAAGTTAAGGTTTGATGTTATGATCTTATTCTATCGACCACATTAAAAGGAGTTGGAAGTCAATGCTTTTTTCGCCTTTGTTTTTCCCACTTGCTCTACTCTTTTCCCCTCCTTTATTTTCCTATTGTTTTCTTCTGTATTTTGTATTGTTTTGTATTTTGTATTTATATTATACTTTGATAAAAATTTTGAACACACACACAAAAAATACTCCACAGGGAAATGCGCTCTGGTGGCTCAGCAGACTAAAGCACTGTTATTAACATCCACTTACATCTGCTGCCAGCAATTACTGCAAGTTACTGCTACCAACGACCTCCCATCGATCCGTGCGCTCCCACAGAGAGGGCCTCCTCGGGGTGCCATCAGCCAGACAATGTAGGCTGGTGGCCCCCAGGGGGAGGGCCTTCTCTGTGGGGGCACATACCCTCTGGAATCAGCTCCCCCCAGAGATAAGGAGAATCCAAGACCTCAGTGCCTTCCGTCGCGCCCTTAAAACCCATTTATTTAAACAAGCCGGGCTGGTTTAAGATGAAATTTTTAACTGTTTTTAAATGTTTTAAACGTTTTTAATTAGTAAATGAGTTTTAATTGGGCCAAATTTATATATCTTTTAATTGTTTTTAATATTTGTTCTGCATGTTTTTTAATCTGGCTGTACACCGCCCTGAGTCCTCAGGGAGAAGGGCGGTATAGAAATCCAATATAAAATAAAAATAAATAAATAAAGTTCAAATCTCACCAGGCTCAAGGTTGACTCAGCCTTCCATCCTTTCTAAAGTAGGTAAAATGAGGACCCAGTTTGTGGGGGCAATAAGCTGACTTTGTATAAATATACAAAAGGATGAAGGCTATTGCTTAACGCATTGTAAGCCGCCCTGAGTCTCCGGAGAAGGGCGGCATATAAATCAAATTAAAAAAAAAAAAAAAATTCCCAGCTCACAGAAACCCCCCCTCCTCTCCCATCTCCCCCATAGCAACACTTGCAGATTTCAGGGGGGCTATTTACATCTTTGTAGGGCGTCGTTGGGATCTCCTGGGCTGTGTGGAGGGTGGGGCTGCCAGGCCCTTTGGGGAGGCAGGGGGTCGCAGAAGGAGGGAGCGGCGGCGGCGGCAGCTGTTCGGCCTCGGGGACAGCCGGGCTCTCCTGGCCAGGGAAGGGCCCCGTCGGGGCAGCGCTGGAAGAGTTCGATCTCTCCCGGCAGCCCGCTTTGTCCGTCAGTCCCCGGCTTTGCTGGAAGTGGCCGGCCTCCCCTCCTTCTCCTTCCTCCCCCCTCTGCTCTTCCTCCTCTTCCTCCTCCTCCTCCTCTTCCTCGCCGGGCTGCCGATGGCTCTCCACGTCCACCTCCGGCTCTTCCTCTTCTGCTTCCTCCTCTTCCTCTTCTTCCTCCTCGCTGCTGTCCTCGCTGGGGAAGCTGCAACTGGTCCCGCCGGGGGAGAGAAGCCGGGGTCCGGCCGGCTGGAGGGCAGGCTCGCGATCCGTCGGCAGGAGCAGGAGCGGCGGAGGCGGCGGCGAGGAAGGCCGGCCCGACGGCTGATGGTGTTGGTGGAGCTTGGCCAGGCTCTCCGAGTCCTCCTTGCCGCCCACCGGGCGGAAGGCGCTGGAGTGGTGGTAGGCAGAGCCCCCCTTGGGCCGAGCTTGGCCGTCCAGCAAGTGGGCAGCGGGCACCGCGCCCTCGGAGGTGGGGGACCCGCCGCCCTCGCCGCCGCCTTCGAAAGCGCGGGGCTCCCGGCTGCTGCCCCCGCCCGCAGCCCCGCTAGCTTGGGGGGCGGCGGCGGGAGGAGCCCCCAACCCTGCGGCCGCCCCCTCGGCGCTGGGCTCGGCGGCCAGGTCCAGGAAAGCTTGGCGGAGCAGGCTGGAGCTCTCCCCGCCCAGAGCCGAGCAGCCCGGCGGTTGAGGAGGGGGCGGCGGGGGCTGCAGGTAAGTGGGCAACCCTGGAAGCGCCCCCGGCGCCCGGGGAGGCCAAAACATACAGAAAGGCGGATAGAAAGCGGCCGCCGCCGCCGCCGCCGCATCTTTGCGACTCCCGGGCCAAAAGAGACCGGAGAGACCCGCTCCGGCCGACGGGGCTCCCGACGCCGTTTTGGGAGCCCCCGATCCGCTTTGACCCCCGACGCCCAGCCCGTCGCTTTCTTCCTTTTTGTGGCAGAGGCTGAAAGCGGCGGCGGCGGCGGCCGGGAAGCCGTAAGGGTGCGGGAAAAGCCCCCCGCAGGCGGGGAACTTCTGCAGGACGCCCCCGAAGGAGGCTCCCTTGCTGGGCACCGGGATGACCGGGTAGTTCCGCGGGGCTTTGCCGTGCGCCATAGCCGCGGCCGCCGCAGCCGCCGCCGCCACCGCTTCTTGGAGCTCGCTGTCGTCGTCGAAGCGGGGCCGCTTCTGGGTCAGGTCCGGCGGCGGGGGAGGCGGCGGGGGTCCGGCTAAGAGGTGCGGGCTGAGCAAGCCGCCTCCGCCGCTTCCCAAGCCCACCCCGCCGGTCTTAACCGAAGCCAGAGGGTGGCAAGAAGGCGGCGGCGGCGGCTGCAGCGGCTGCGGCGGCCGCGGGTGGCTCGACGGCGCGGCCGAGGCAGGCAAGGCTCGCTTGCGGCTGCCCCCGTTGAACATGGCCTTGACGTCTTCCCAGGCGAAGACCAGCTCGTCCTGCGGGCTTTTGTCGGTCAGCTTGAGGTGGCGGCGCCAGGAGTTGAAGTTGGCGGCGTCGGGCTGCAGGTACTTGGCGTCGGGGGTCCGGTGGGAGTGGAAGATGAACTTGTTGGGCGAGAAGTAGAGGCTGCAGTAGCTGCACTTGATGCATTTGGCCCGGGAGCTGTTGTAACGCGCGGGGATGAAGCTGCCCCGACAGCCCCAGGCGCACTCGTGGGACACGTCGAAGGCGAAGTTATCCGGGAGCTTCGGCGGCCGGTTCTCGCCCAGGAACGACTTGCAGAGCCGCTCGGCCTCCCGCTTGGTGATCATCCCGCAGCGGCGCGAGGAGATGGGCATGGCCCCGGCCCTGCGCAGGATCTCCAGCTGGACGGGCGTGCACTGCACGCAGGTGATGCCCAGGGCCACCCGACGGTTGTGGATCTCGTTGTAGCTGAAGTTCTTGAGCAGGGTGTTGGAGATCTGAGCCAGGCACAGGCGCTCCTGCCCGTCGATCACCAGCGAGACGATGGGGATGCCGTACAGGATCACTTGGCCCACCTGGTTAGGCTTCATGGCGCCCGCCGAGGGGACCGAGGAGCCGCGAGAGGCCGGAGCCGGCTGGGTCAGCGGTTCTGGGGGGAAGGCGTTGGACGGGACGGTCAGAAGCAGCTCGGTGGGGGCCGGCAAAGGACTGCTGGCCATCGTCGTGGCCCCTTTGGGGTTCCTTTGCTGAGAGCTGGGGAGAGAGAGAGAGAGAGAGAGAGAGAGAAAGAAAGGGCTGCATGAGGACTAGCGCCATTGAAAGGCTGACTTCCGTTCATTAGCGGCTCCCTAAAATCTGCCTTTCTGAACAACAGTTCAGTCATGTGTATCAAGCCTGGTAGTGCAGTGGACTAAACTACTGTTAAAGTAGTATTTAGCTGCCAGCTGCCTGCAATTACTGCAAGTTCAATTCTCACCAGGCTCAAGGTTGACTCAGCCTTCCATCCTTCCGAGGTAGGTAAAATGAGGACCCAGATTGTGGGGGCAATAAGCTGATTTTGTATAAAAAAGAACACCGCTTAAGGAGGGGGGGTGCGAAAGCCCTACTAAGCAGGTATATACAAAAGTCTGACGGCTATTGCTTAACGCATTGTAAGCCACCCTGAGTCTCCGGAGAAGGGCGGCATATAAATCAAACTAATAAATAAACTAATAAATAAATTAACTGCTGGATCCTGGATTAGCATGAAAGAAACCCCAGATCCTTTTATCGATAAATAATGAATCAGTGGTGAAATCCAAATTTTTTACTAGGGGTTCTGTGGGCGTGGCTTGGTGGGCATGGTGAGGCTTGGTGGGTGTGGCTTGGTGGGTGTGGTAGGGGAAAAATACTGCAAAATCTCCATTCCTACCCAACTCTGGGGGAAAGGATACTGCAAAATCCCCATTCCCACCCCACTCTAGAGGAAGGATACTGCAAAATCCCCATTCTCTCCCCACTCCAGGGGAAGGATACTGCAAAATCTCCTTTCCCAACCCACTCCAGGGGAAGGATACTGCAAAATCCCCATTCCCTCCCCACTCCAGGGGAAGGATACTGCAAAATCCATTCCTCCCCACTCCAGGGGAAGGATACTACAAAATCCCCATTCCCTCCCCACTCCAGGGGAAGGATACTGCAAAATCTCCTTTCCCACCCACTCCAGGGAAGGATACTGCAAAATCTCCATTCCCACCCCACTCCAGGGGAAGGATACTGCAAAATCCCCATTCCCACCCCACTCCAGGGGAAGGATACTGCAAAATCTCCATTCCCACCCCACTCCAGGGATGGATAATGCAAAATCCCCCATTCCCTCCCCACTCCAGGGGACGGATAATGCAAAATCCCCCATTCCCTTCCCACTCTAGGGGAAGGATACTACAAAATCCCCATTCCCTCTCCACTCCAGGGGAAGGATACTGCAAAATCTCCATTCCCACCCCACTCCAGGGAAGGATACTGCAAAATCTCCATTCCCACCCCATTCCAGGGGAAGGATACTGCAAAATCCCCATTCCCACCACACTCTGGGGCCACAGCCAGAGGTGGTATTTGCCGGTTTTCCGAACTGCTCAAAATTTCCGCTACCGGTTCTCCAGAACCTGTCAGAACCTGCTGGATTTCACCCCTGACATGGACCCTTTTTGGTTTCTCTGTCACAGTCTCTGCAACCTTGTCATGACAAAGACGAAATCGGAGAACTGAATGCCTTCCTTGAAGTTCTGGATGAGAGGCTGGAGAGAGAACTGACAAACTAGAAAAACAACCCACTCAACAGACATCAATAGGCTGCTCTATTAACTAGGAGACAAAATTTTTATTTACTGGTGCCCATCATGGTACAGGCTACCAGCCTCAAAGACCTTCCAACTAGCTCTTTTCCGTTAAAAAAAATTGGTCCTACTGTGTTAAACCTGGACTGGGCCTCTTAGGACATCATCCTGTTTATTCAGAAGTAACTACCAAAGGTGTTTTTTTCAAGAGGCAACTGGACTTTCTGGTTTGTTGTTGTTTTTTTGAAGACATTTCGCTTCTCATCCAAGAAGCTTCTTCAGCTCTGACTGGATGGTGGGGCATCCAGTCAGAGTTGAAGAAGCTTCTTGGATGAGAAGCAGAATGTCTTTTAAAAAAAATAAACAATCCCAGAAAGTCCAGTTGCCTCTTGAAAAAAGCACTTTTGGGACAACTATGACCTGGATGACTGAGAATCTCCATAGATAACTGCTTGGGTAAATCTAACTGGCGTTATTCACTTGGATATGTTGTACATCTGTAGAGGCACACATTTGTTCATATTATCGCTTTTTATGTAATATTTCTGACCTCTGAGTATTTCGCTGTGCACTGAAGACCCTGTTGTTCCGCCAGGCTGGGCTATCAACATAATAATTTTAAATTGGAGTATTTTAAATTTCTGGGGTTTTAAATTGAGCCGAACTTATTTAATAATTTTAAATTTTTAATGGATGTTTGTCTTGTGTTTTTAAATAGGCTGTATACCACCCTGAGTCCTTCGGGAGAAGGGCGGCATAGAAATAAAATTATATTAAAATTATTATACTTTTACAGGTAGTCTTTGATTTACGACCACAATTTAGAACCAGAATTTCCATTGCAATTGTTAAGTGATTTACACCTGATTTTACCACCTCCCCCCGCATCCAGTCATAAAGAGACTCACCGCAATTAGATGAATATGTGGTTGTTGAATGATGTTCTGCCCCAGCTACGGACCCCAAAGAACACAGCACACACAAACTCTATACAAAGCTTATTTTACTCAAATAACTCAGTCTTTATCAACCAAAGGCTGTTAATAAACTGTCTTAACAGCCTACCAGAATTCTGAGATAAGGTAATCACAGTCTTACTAGAGATGGCAGAAAGCCCAGAAGCAATTTTGCAGAGAATTCAGACGTGAAGAGAGTGAACTAAAATTGTTCCCTACAACTTGCTGCAATCGGCATTCCTCCTTAAATAGGCTAAGGGAGTGGCTAATTAGCCCCAAGCCTTACTCTCGAGGAGACCTCCTCCTGAGGAGCCACTCCTGCCTTTTGGCAGCTCTGCGTGCCCGTGCATTGAGAAGAGGCTCCTCCTCTTCGTCCTCTTCACTTAAAGGAGCTTCTGGAGGTTCTGAAGGCCCTGGCTGAATCCCTGCCTCTGGCACCACATCTTCTCCAGCCTCCTCACTGTCCAACCTGAATGCCAGCTGCACAGGCTGCTGGCTCAGCACCACACCAGCCTCCTCATTGTCGGAATCAGCTACAATCTGCACAGGCCGTTGACAGGCCACAACAAATGAATCCAGGGTCCCACATTGCCAGAAGCTGTCTGGGAAGGTCACCAATGATAATTGTGAGACCCCGGGATGCTGCAATAGTCATAAATACATCCAGGTTGCCACGGGCTTGAATCTTGATCACATGACCATAGCTTGCTGCAATGGGTTGTTAAGTGGAGGACAAAGCTGTAAGTCACTTTTCTTCAGAGCCATTGTAACTTTGAATGGTGGTTAAATGAAGGATTGTCAGTGGAAGACCACCTGTAATCAAGACTAGTCTGCAAATGGAGTCCTGGCAACTGGAGTTATTTTCTTGTTGGTTTGAGATGGTTCGCTGTCCATATATAGTAGTGGCCAAAATTGTGGAAACCTTTTGGGGAAACTGTATTTTTGAGGTTTGATGGCTAATAACACCACTTTTTTTTTTTGGAGTTTGAAGGTAATCCTATTCCACTGCTGGAATGGCCTGGGAATAGCCCATACCTTAACCCAGTTGAAAATCTATGGAGCCGATTAAAGAAACTTCTTAGTCAGAAATGATCCAGCAATAAAACCCAGTTAATAGAAGCCATCATTCAATCTTGGTTTCACATTAGAACAGCTGCAGAACTAAAAGACTTGGTTCGCTCCATGGGAAGACGTTGTAAGGCCGTCATTCATGCTAAAGGTTACCCAACTAAGTATTAACTGACATGGGGATAATTTTTGTATATCTCGTTTTTTCTATGGTGATCATTTTTGTCTATCTCGTTTTTTTTCTACGTGTTTCACTTTTCTTCTTTATCCTGTAACTGCTATTCTAAGAGCAAATCCTTCATAAAAGTGATTGCATTACATTCTTGATTCAATTATCTTTCCATTGATATATAATTTTATGGTACTACTACTTCAAAAAAAGAAAAGGTGGTGTTATTAGCTAGGTTGAGAAAATGCACTTTTCCCAAAAGGTTCCCACAATTTTGGCCACTACTGTAAGCAGCTTCTTCAGTCTTTGTGTGGGCAGCATAACATCTCAAACCAGCCCCCACCCCCAAAATAAGTCCAGATGCCAGGACTCGATTTCCAGACATATCCTCTCCTTAAGAGAAAAACGAATGTCGTGCATCAAATGTATTAACCCCCACACCAAACTGGCTCTTACATTATTGTAGACTAAAAAAATAAATAAATCTCTCCTCTATTCTAATTCACTAATTTGCTTAGAGAAGGGTAGGGGGCAGTCAGGAGTCAAAATTACTTTTTTGACCTCCCTATCCCGCTTGGTGGGTGTCTTTGGCTTGGCATATTTCAGGGAAATTCTAATTCTTCAACATCTTAGGGACTCTTATGCATACATCCAGATTGGGCATTGTGAAAAGAATTGGCCAGTTGTGCAACTAAAGGCAATAATACGCATCTGATGAAGGGAGCTATCAATGGGGATTCTCAGTCTTCCAGGTCATGGTTGTCCCAAAGGTCCTTCTTCAAAAGACAGCTGGACTTTGTTTTGGCTTGAAGACGTTCCGCTTCTCATCCAAGAAGCTTCTTCAGGTCTTCAGAAGACGCTTCTTGGATGAGAAGGAAAACGTCTTCAAGGCAAAATAAAGTCCGGCTGACTTTTTAAAGAAGCACCTTTGGGACAATGAAGGGAACCGCAGCCGATAAAAGCTTTTGCCTTTTAATAGCAATAGCACTTTTTAAAAAAAAAAATTGATTTATATGCCGCCCTTCTCCGGAGACTCAGGGCGGCTTACAGTGCGTTAAGCAATAGCCTTCATCTTTTGTATATTTTTATACAAAGTCAGCTTATTGCCCCCACAAACTGGGTCCTCAATTTACCTACCTTAGAAAGGATGGAAGGCTGAGTCAACCTTGAGCCTGGGGAGATTCGATCTTACTTTAATTGCAGACAGCTGG